GATGTGATCTGGAGAACACCTTGGGATGTGATCTGGAGAACACCTTGAAGGAGAAAGAAGCCACGTGACTAGGGCATTAACAGAGTACTCGAGTAATCTACACATCGATTGCTAGAACATCTATCGAGGTTAAAAGTGTAACGTCGAGTAACCGTAGTGACGTCATATTATGTGACCACCGTGTGACCGTAGGGGGCGGTGTTGCACTGGTCACAGAGTTTGGTGTAACACCGGGTCCAATCCACCGCCCATCCACTGTTTTCAGTTTCGTTTCTGACGTGCTGCGTTTCTTCATGTTTGCAGTTTAATAATAATAACTAATAGTTTAGTTTTTCCTGTGACTTATTTGCAGTATGATAAATGGGAGGAGCATAATATACGCTCCCAATGTTTTGTTGGTCTTTGTTTTGTAAATAATTACCTTTTTTTGTGGTTTTATTTATTTATTTATTTTTGTATCTTGAGATCTATGACGTCATCAAATACTCGAGTTCTACTCGGGTTTTATTATGTTAATGTCGAGTTTTAAAATGTATATACTCGTTCAACCCCTACACGTGACACAAGTTTTCTGGAAAGTAAACTAGTTAAAATCAGCGATGGGGAAGGAAGAGTGGACAGGAAAACAGCGGGGGGGGGGGGGGGGGACGTTATTCCAAGAGGATTGTGAAGGAAAGGGGAATAAAGGTTTGAAGTGTGGAAACTGTGGCACCAAGGCAGGAAGGAACCTGTCAATCACTCAAAGTTTGTTTTCTCAGTCATCCAGGTATATAACAACAAAAAAGGTTGAATCATGTCATCTGGACTTCGTTTTTTGTTAAAAAGAAACGTTTCGCCCCTCATCCAAGAGGCTTCGTCAGTCTGAGGCCTAGCCATCTGGTATTACCCAGAAGCCACCCTGACTCTTGTGTTTCAAGCCTGAGGGGTTCTGTGCATCTTGGGGAATTGGACAAGTGTACCAAATTTCATGTTTCTACAACAAACTAAGGTTCATGCGGAGGGTATTTAGAAAATTTCCAGGCGGTGCTCTTGATCCGTTTCTTTACATTCTTGACGGTTGTGACGTCACCAGCACACTTACTAATGTGACATAGGACTGAGGATGTGTATTCCTCCAAGTCTAGCGCCCCTCCCTCCTTAACAGCAGCTTCCCTGAATACCTGCCAGTTCATGTGTTTAAAGCAGTCCTTTAAAATAGAGTCACTGTTTCTTACCCACCCCTTTCATTTATTTTGTGTTGGTCTGGAGCGTCTCAGCGGGGGCAGGTAAGCAGGAGCCAGAAAGATTGATATGTGATCAGAGAGTCCAAGGTGGGGGCTGGGTACGGCTTTATATGCATCTTTCACCTTGGTGTAAACACGGTCTAGTGTTTTACTTCCTCGCATTGGTATGGTCACATGCTGATAAAAACTTGGCAGTGTCTCCTTCAGATTTACATGATTAAAATCCCCAGCCAGCGCATAAAAAGCCTCCGGGTGTTTGTTCTGAAGCGAGCTGATGTTATTACTTAGCTCCTTCAGGGCGTCTTTAGCATTAGCATCCGGAGCTATATAAACAGCTATTATAAACACTGCTGTAAACTTGCGGGGTAAATAATGTGGATGACATTTCACAGTTAGTTGCTCTAAAGCCTCGGAGCATGTACTGTTTATCAGCATACAGTCTGTGGACCAACCTTTGTTTATGTAAACACACAGTTCTCCTCCGCACGTCTTTCCCATTTGTTCACCGAAGTGGTCCACTCGGAAAAAAGTCTTTCATCCATCTGAAATGCTGAGTCTGGCATGCTGCTGTTGAGCCATGTCTCTGTGAGACAGAGTACCGCACATTCCCTCATCTCCTCTGAGGCACTCGCTCTCAGTCGAAGCAGATCCATCTTATCCAAGGACCGGACGTTGGACAGAAAGAGAGACGATATCAGGAGTCTGCCAGGTAGCATTAGCTTTCTGCCTCACCAGCACACCCTCCTGGCATCCTGTCTTCTTCCCCCGGGCACAGCGCCTCCTTTCCATTTGAGCGCTGCTGTCTCCACGTTGATGTCTGTAAAAAACCTTCTTACAAAACTTGCCTCGTTTTTATCATGTAACATTGTTTATTGTGCTGTTCTTGTTCAAATAAACTTGAATGAATGAATGATTGACATACACTAAGATATACGCCAAACAAATGCCAAACAGTAGCTAAAAGATTGAAGATATACGCTGAACACTAATAATGTAGCACAATGTGGCACATCAGCAGCAGCCTGAACATGAGTCTGTGGTGTCTTCTTTCTGCTCTGCTCCCTGAAGGTCCCACTACAGCATCTTTCAGTCGTTAGTGAATTCACAGCTGTAGTGGTTTTAGTGCACAGGAGAAATTCTGTTGACTAAAACCACTAAAGTCGTCGTCTTTAGTGTCAAAATTGAACCGCCTCAGAAAAACTTATCACACACGTCCTTAGTCTCTTTCGTTGTCACTCTCACGTCACTTTCTTCTCGAGGCAAATTCACAATTTGATTTACGATTCAAACTAAACCCACCCCTCAAGAGAGATGTGCGTTGAGCAGCTGTGTGAGGTGTGACGAGGCTAAATGTTTTGGCTGCATGAAACTCGTTAGCCCATCAGAAAACCTACATTAGCCACAGCATCGTATAAGCTGCAGGATTCAACGCCTGTGAAAGAAGTAGTGGTTTATAGTCCGGAGATTACGAAGTCTAAAATGGGGAAGGTGTATTTGGAAATACTAAACCACCCTTTGTTTTGTCCAGATGATCTAAAAGGTTCAGTATCAGCCAGGAGCAGCTGATCAAATGTATTGATTATTGATCATCAGTGTGATGAAGGGTCAAAGGTCATTTCCAAATTATTTGGAGTCCATCATTTTACAGAGAGAAAGATTCTTCACAAGTTAAAATCATCAGGACAGCTGCCAATCTTAAGAATGGATGTTCCAGCAAATTCACCACAAAGTCGGTCTGACACTGCCTCGAACTCTTCTAGACCAAAAGCTTCCAGAGTCAAATGTGAGACCATCTGTCGGCACTTGGACCGGACTGGGACATGATAAAAGAGAACAGTCATTCCAAACATAGCAGCTACATCAAAACTTCTCAGATAAAAGACAATGATGTGAAGGTCCAGTTAGAGTCCAGAACCTCAGCCAGACTGAAACGCTGCAGTGGGACCTTCAGGGAGCAGAGCAGAAACAAATGTCTGCAAACCTCAATGAAGTGAAGCAACAACGGAAAGAAGAGTGGGACAGAATTCCTCCACAATCATGTGCGAGACTGATAAAGGCCTACAGAAAACATCTACTGTAAGTCACTGCTGCTTAAGGAGGTTCTACAAGCTGCTGGATCAGGCTCGAACCAGTTTTTCACTCCAGCTTCTCCATTTAGACTTTTTCTGTTTTAATAAGATCGTGGTGGAACTGTGGTTTTCTACACTTGTGAGTAGTTGTAAAACCTGACGCAGTTGATGAGTTCAGCAGGGTTTTTAATAATCCTCCACTGTTTGTGTGTTGTTGCATTCGGGTGGTTTTGACTCTTGTCTGCTCTTGTCCTCAGCTGGTTCACCTTGGAGCAGGTTGTGGACCTGAAGGCAGAAGCACTGTGGGAGCAGCTGCTGGATGATTTTCAGCCTGACATAGTCATTCAAGACTGGTGAGTCAGTGAGCACCACCGTCCCCACCCTGCTCTCCTGCCCTTTGGAGCAGTGTCTTTTCTGTGATAACGAATCAACAAACAATCTTAAATCATTGAAACGCAGCACGAGACACTACCTGAGGCAAGACCAGGTTCACCACTAACCCATCCAAAATTCCAAACAGCTACAAAACTGCACAAATCTGAAGCAGATAACTTTTTACATTCAGTTGGATTTTTTTCCTTTGTTTGCTGAACTTCTGGTTTCCCTAGTTTATGTGTTAACATAAAACGTTGCTAAAGGATGACCTCAGGAGCAGTGAAATCAGTGACCATGTCTTCTTAAATAAAAATGTTAATATGTGGCAACATCATGTCACTTTTTGGGTACATGAAGGAGGAGGTGCTTTGCCACCCCTCTTAAGCTGGTACACATACCGTACTTTCCTGTCTGTAGAGCGCACTTGAATATAAGCCACGCACACTAAATAAAAATATAATAATAATAATTTGTACATTTATAAGGTGTTCACGTAACATGAGTGGCAGCACACAGCTACTGAATGTGTAGCTCTTGTTGTAGATCAAGAATCAGTCACCAGATGGCGTTTTTTAGACTTACTGTCCAACACACTCTTCATAGAGTGAACCCCACAGGTCTTCGTTACAACTTCCTCCCTCACACACGGTTACTGTACTGAGTGGCCTAATACAAACTAACACACAATGACAACATGAGCTAGGCTAACAAGAACAGTCAAAGTGGAGAAGTTGTAGTGAAAAACTGGTTCTGGCCTGATCCAGAGCTGAGTGAAGCTGACACCCCACCCACTTCCAAAAGTAAAGCAAATAGTCTGAATGGTTAGTGCTCCGTTAGTGCTGGTTTGTGCCGTTAAAATTTTCGTTTGTGCTGCTTTGGTTTAAGAGATATTAAAAGTTATAATTTTGACCTGTGATAGACGCTCAGGCGCGTTCACGCGTCCTCAGGCGCGTTCACGCACACGTCAGGGCAGAGCGTTTACTTAAGGCGGGCGCGCGCTCCGGCTGTAATTGTGTGGATCAGATTTGACAACAAAAACACAACTGTCGTAAATGTTTCCTTTTAGTACCTGATTGCGGTTATAAAGGACGCGTGAACGCGCCTGAGCACGCGTGAACGCGCCTGAGCGTCTATCACAGGTCAAAATTATAACTTTTAATATCTCTTAAACCAAACCAGCACTAACGGAGCACTAACCATTCAGACTAGTTGCTTTACTTTTGGAAGTGGGTGGGGTGTCAGCTTCACTCAGCTCTGATCCAGCAGTTATTGCTAGCCGTGGGCCTCAGGCCTCCTCTCAGACCCAGGTCCGCCTCCAGCTCACGCTACCCCCGGCTCGGACCTCCCTTAGACGTGGCAACTCACACTATTAATAAATCAAGGAAACGTGAATTCAGTTTTACCAGTTGTTAAAATCAAGGCAGGAAAGGGTTACTACAGTTTACAGCGCTGGCCGGTTCTCCCCAATATCTTAAGGGCATATCAACCAAGTTTAAAGCCAATCGCTCAATCGTTTGATTTGGTAATTGCTTACTGAATATTTTTTGTCTGAAAGGATGGACAGGCATGATTTAGAATAGAATTAGGTCAGATGGCATGAGGGGTTATAGGTGTGCCACTAGATGGTTAAAGCAACAAAAAGATATATTTTCTGTTATTTTGTCAGGTATGAGGAGAGTCAACTGCATGCCTCCATCTACAAACTGCATGTGAAACTACTGGGAACAGACAAAACTACAGTGATCTCAGAGCACAGTGTCAGCCCCACTGAGGATCTGAGCACCTACTCACACATCTGGAAGGAGGTGAGCCACTCGCTCTGTCTGACTGCAATGATCTGCCTGGATCAGAACTTTTCACTGTACACAGCTGTTTGGCAGGTGTCTCATGTGTTCTCCGGCTATGGACCTGGGGTGAGATACGTCCACTTCCAGCACCAAGTGAAGAACAGCTTCCTGAATGATTTCTTCCCCACACGCCTCACTGGGAGCGCTGTAATTGTAAAACCGGTCAAAAGTGGTCCCTAAGCTGAATCTTGCAACCTCACATGCTTGTTAAGACAGTCTAACCAGCACATGGAGTGGTGTCTTAAAGAAACATAATAAAATAAAGGTCTAAATTAACCCATCTTCTTGTCTTCCTGATCATTTCAGTGTAAATGTTTGTATGAAATTATTTTCAAAACTTTTTATATTTTTTTTTTAAATTACGGTTTGGAATGAAATAGTTTCTTCTCTGAAAGACTGAAAACGTCAAGGTTCCTTTTTTTGTTAATGAGTCCAACAAGTACCCAGTAAATGGTGACGTTAAAGAATCCTACAAGTGAGGGGTGGAGCTAACAAGTCCAACAAGTGGATGGTGGAGGTGATGAGTATTACATGAGGATTATATGATAGAACAGTGATATTATTTACAATAGTGAAATTATTGACTTTGTGGAGTTTTACCAACTTCAGGCCCAAAAAAAAACAAACAAACCGCTATGTGCTCCAGCATCAACGTGTGGCATGGAGGCTGCACAGCTGCAGAAAGAAAAGCTTTGCAGAGAGTGGTGAAGGCTGCACAGAA